AAAAATGAACTGCGTGCACTTCAAAACCAATGCATGTTTTGGACGAAAAAAAAACCAATGCATGTTTCGTGTGTGGTTTCGAAATGAACAGAAATTATATGGTGTTTCATGTGTAGTTTCGAACTTGAAAAAAAAAACAATGCATGTTTATTTGTCGATTATAATTATGTTTAATCGGCCACTTGAATTAATCAAAAACCATTTAATTAGCTTATTATACACCGTCATATTTTTCGTATTTGGTTTGTTTTATCTATTCCACAAATATCCAAACTTGTTCCATTTATTTTGCTTGTTCAGTACCGCCCATTCTGTTATTACTATTCAAAACCTAAATTTTATATAACCTATTGGAGAATTTTCTGCACACAAATAAAAAAAAAGAAAAAAGAAAAAGAAAGGGGAATAGAAGTTTTAATACACAACATTATATACATACACACAAATACACAATATTACTCAGCTCTAATAATTAATGTGATTTGATTTTTTTTTTAAACCAAAAACGTTATTAGAAGACGACCTAGAGGCTACAATTAGAGCCTTTGTTGTTTTTTACCCTCTAATATATTTAATATCTCCTTTCACCTCTTCTCTCTCTATATCTTCCTTTGTGGTATATAATACACAGCAACCCAACAATCAAGAAGATCAGATCATGGTGGGGTTTTTTATTTTCTCCTTATCAAGAATCCTCTGATCAGTCAAATACCCATCAATCAATCAAATCCCCAAACACTCCCAAAAAAAGATCAGGTTCCAGTTTTTTTCCTCTTCTTACAAAAAAGATGTCTATGTCGTCTATGTCCTCCCCTTCCTCAGCTGTTTGTTCACCGGACCACTTCTCTCCTTCCGAGCATCTCTGCTATGTCCAATGCAACTTTTGCCAAACCATTCTTGCGGTAAAGAATCACCTCTCTTCAATACTTTCTATCTCTCTCTTTTTCTCATCTTCTTGATCTATATATAATTAGGGGTTTTACTTAATTCACTGTTTCTTGTGTGTGTTTATAGGTTAGTGTTCCTTACACAAGCTTGTTCAAGACCGTAACTGTCAGATGTGGTTGCTGTACCAATCTCCTCTCGGTGAACATGAGATCATATGTCCTCCCAGCTTCTAACCAGCTCCAGCTCCAGCTCGGTCCTCACTCTTACTTCAATCCACAGGATATTCTGGTACTTAAAACATTCAAATACATGATCTTATAGGGTCTCATTTTAGCTTATTGGAAGTAATCTCAGGCCTCAAGGATGTAAATATTATTGTAGGAGGAGCTGAGAGATGCACCGTCTAACATGAATATGATGATGATGAATCAACATCCTACTATGAATGACATACCATCTTTCATGGATCTTCATCAACAACATGAGATTCCTAAAGCACCACCCGTTAACCGCCGTAAGATACTAATTCTTCTCACTTCTTAGGATTTTTAACTTTTTTTGCGAACCATATTTATAATTTGGTTGTGATGATGAATCGACATTAAAATAAAGACATGCATATATAGCTTTTCTTATTTAACTGGATCTCGTTCAAACCCTAACACCATTGAAGAAAGCTTAGAAGAAGATTTGTTTTTTTTTTCCTTTTCTTTTTGTAAACTAGAAGGAGGCTTGAGAGATGTAGATTTTGTATATTTAAAATATTCATTGATCCATGACCTTTAGTATGTGTTGATTGTCTACATATCCTGGATGGCTTTTTAGTGTTGGTAAACATTAAAATAGTGACGATAAAAGAAAAGGGGAGATAGATTCATGGATCCCCCGGAAATCTAGCTAAAGAGAAAGAATCTATGTAATATGTTAGAAGATGGGCTTGTCTTTAAAAAAAACATGATGAAGTGATGATGGGTTAGAGAGAGAAAGTGTTTGTGTGAGAGAGAAAAAAGACAATGAAAGTAGTTTTAATGAGTGTTTGTCTCTTTCTGTCTGAGTTTTTGTTTTTTCGCTTTGTCTTTGCCGTTGAATTTCGCCATTGCCAGCTCCAGAGAAAAGACAGAGAGTCCCATCCGCATATAACCGATTCATCAAGTGAGTCTTATTATTTTTTTTCAATCATTCATATTCTAATCATAACTGTGTAACATTAATATAATTCCTGTCACGTTTTTATTTTAGGGAGGAGATCCAACGTATCAAAGCTGGTAATCCTGATATAAGCCACAGAGAAGCCTTTAGTGCTGCTGCCAAGAATGTAAGAACCTTAATTTTCACATCCCAAAAATATATATTAACTAGTTATCCATTGGTTAAATTAAATTTTAATAACCAAAAGAGTCCAAACCCCTTGGTAATCCATACTTACACATACATATATCCAGTTCAATAAATATTTCAAAATATGCTGAAAACCAGTTAGAAGTTATCCATGGCTAGGGCATTTCTGATTTCATTTACTAGTGTAAATTAAGCCATTGATACTACTAAGTACTAACATCACAACTTGGTTTAGATTGCCGGCGGAAACTAGGGTTTGATTTATATATATATATATACTTGCTCTTGTATTAGTTGTATATATATATATATATAAAGTCATATATGTAGGTATAGCTGAAATTAGGAGTAAAGAATTTTGTCGGGTTATAACACAAGTTGATATGTGTCTTGTACGTATGTTGTTTATGTGTAATGCAGTGGGCCCACTTCCCCCACATACACTTCGGGCTCGTGCCAGACAATCAACCCGTGAAGAAAACCAACATGCCCCAACAGGTAAACCCTAATCTGTCGACATACCCTTACATCTTTAATGTATATACTTTAATGTATACTATACCTACATTTATCATTTCAATTGATTTTGATCATATCTTAAACATGGTTGTATAGGAGGGAGAGGATAACATGGTGATGAAAGAAGGTTTCTACGCTCCTGCGGCTGCTAACGTTGGTGTGACTCCTTATTAAAGAGACATATATATAATCGACTAAGTATTTGAGGAATTGAAATCCAATTTCTTAGGGTTTATGATATCCAAAAGTTGGGTTTCTTTATCTTTCTTGAACTTCTATATATGCATGCGTCTTTTTCTGTTGTTGTGTAATCAAAAATCTTGCTAATTAATGGGGTTTCTTATGTTAATTTTCATTTGTAGTTATATCATTAATTAACTTACTAAAATGTTTTATTATATTTGCTCAATGCCGAATTTTAAAATTAAATAATTAGTCTATAGACTATAGATCTATACAACGATCAATTGATCAAAGCTTTTTTTTTCCTCCAGAATGAATATATCATAAAAATGATTAAAGAATCATTTACAAACTGAGAGTTCAGGCAAATATTTATCGATGAGAAAACAATAGGGGAATGATTATTACATTGCAAGGAAATATGCACAAGCATTTGCTTCCCGGAAACTTGTAAAACGATGAGAGTCTGTTCAAATTTCTCCATCCAAAATCTGATTCTTGAGATGGTTGCATATATATGGTTTAATTTTATTGGTCCAACGGTTTTATAATGATTATTCAATAAACGGTATATTAAATCATTACTAAGACATGTGTTAAATCGATAATTGTTGTGAAATAGAGGACATATATATCAAAGTTAAATTTTCGGATTACCTTTGAACTCATCAGAACTAATCCAGTGATGCCTATCAAAAATAAAATAAAAACAAATCCAATGATGATATTTTTCTTTTGGAGCAATATAGAGTGATGAATATAAGTAGCAAATCAAATAAAAATGACTTTGGGCTTGATTGGTTCTCCCGCTAGCACCCGCCTAGCGGTTGTTAGCGGTCGGTTGCGGTTGCTAGCGGTTGGTACCAATCACACAAACCGCTCCACACCGCTTCGAACCGCTCGAAATCGCTGGATTTCAAAAGCTCCTTTCCGCAAGCGTTTGCGGTTGCGGGCGGTTGCGGTTGGTTTAAAAAAGGAAAAAAACTAAAAAAGGAAAATAAATAAATTAAAATATATATCATCATGTCTGATTTATATTCACGTTAATTCTAAAAAAATAATTATTATTTAACTTTAATTTTCTAATATAAATAATTATTTTTGTTTTCAATATAAATATTTATATGAATAATTATTTATGGTTTTTAATCATTAATCATGTTTAAAAAATTTATACTTTTCATAACTATAGTTTCTGGTGTTTTATAATTTTTTATAATCATATATTAAATTTATTTTGGTAAATTTTGGTTTAACCGCTATCGTACCCGCTGATCAACCAGTCGTAAATCTCCCGCAAACGCACCCGTTTTCAACCGCTAAACCAGTCGGTCAAAACGCTAAATAACGCTTGAAACCGCAACCGCCCGCTTCCGCAAACTCCCACAACCGCAACCGCAACTGCTGCGTTTAAACCAGTCAAGCCCTTTATCATAAATGGGTGAAGTCACTTTGACCCGTGTGACTATATGTTATCAGGCTTAGTAGAAATCGGCCCATTTAGTATTAGTGACGTGTTTCCTTAGCAACTTGGTGGGCCTGGTAATCAATAATGCGATGATGATAAAATGATTTATATCCTTAGCAATTTCTCATAGCACCGGATCTCAAAATCTGCCAACGGAGATTGCTTCTCATAATAGATTTCTTCAGTCTCCGGAGATCTGATGTTCATTTTCCGATATGTGTACTATAAACTCCCCGATGACATCGAGTAAGCAAGAAGAGCTTAGTTGTCAGTTTCCAAGTTCCAAAAGAAGAATCCAACAAAACGCAGTGTTTCGCTATCTGGACCATCTAATTTCTACGTGTTGTATACTTGTATGCAACAATGACGGCTTTAGCCTTTCGCTTTCTAATGTGGTCCATGTCGATCTGGACTTATAGAGCCATATGGGCCTATGTTGGGTTGGATAATAATTAACCAATGAGAGACCACGCAGACCCTCTAAACCAAATAGAGGCATTGAAGTATGAGCTTGAATACTATAGACTATAGCGGATGTCATTATAAATCTTTTTGATTGAACGTAATTCATGATGGATGAGAAAAGGAGACATATTAAGAACATAGTACATTAAAAATTTCATTAACAAACTCAAGCATTACATCAAACTCAACATGCGAGAACAATAGGTTGGAGATTAATTTGCATTTTCTCACAAAAACAATAGATATCAGTAGAAACAAACAGATAAAAACATTGCAAACCAAAGAGATTTTTCTCTTTTAAGTCTCAAATCTTCAAGCACATTGGAAACCATAAGGAAGTTTCTTGCCACAATAGTTCAATAGCAAGCTCAGATCAACAGGAACATTGAGATTAATCCCCAAGACATTGGCTTTAAGAGCGGTGCAGAGACAAACCGCAGCTTCAAGATTAGCAAGACCTTGAAGAAGTGTACAACAAGGAGTCTTTGGTGGAGAACCAACAACAACGTTAACTAGGCCCAATAAGTCTGCGCAAACACCGAGCTTAAGTGTGTCGGTAGGACAAGTGGGTTTAACGGCAGGATCCTTCTTTGGGGATTTAGGGACTTTTGGGGGTTTAGGAGTAGTTGGTGGACATTTTGTGGAGGTAACAAAGGTGAAGAAAAGAAGATTAAGGGTAATAAGAAGAGCAGTAACTGCAAGAGCCTTAGAAGCCATTGGAACTTTTTGTAATGTTTTGGGATGAATGTGAAGGAGAGATAGGACGTGGTTTATATAGAACAAGTTATTACTAATTACATATACAGAGTAACAGAGAGATAAAATAGCATGTGAGTGACTGAAGAAAAACTGAGTAAGAAACAAAACTATCCAGCAAGTTGGCGTTTGCAACTTGAGGCCATGAAATTGATTAGACTAATATTAGGAATTGTTTTTTTCTTTTTCTATCATAGAAAGGGAAAAGACAAGATTTTGGTCTTGTTTGTTTGTGAAAGTAAAGGCTCCACAAACTTTGAGCCAGAGTGTCTCTCTGGGTGGTATGCATCAGTTTGATCATAGTTGTGCAGATCCATTATACGATTGTTGATAAGATATTATTTCACATTGCATTAGTCCCCATTCCTTTAGATTTTTCTTATGAATCAGAATCAATCAATTTTTTTCCAAATACAACTGGACAAGATAATCCCAAAAACAAATTCAAAACGTCTATATCTCATCATTACTCTTTTCCAATATTTGGTTTGGATTTGATTTGGTCTAGTTTATCCAAATTTATAAGATATCTTCTAGAGAGAGGTCCGTTTGGTATCCAAGAAAAAGATTCATGTGGCATCATCAAACGATACCAGTCTAATGAACTCTATTTTAGGAGAAAAAAAGCCACACAAATTAATAAATAGCAAGAATGATAATTATTATAAGATTAGTCTATGTACATTTTAACAAGTGAAAGAAGATAGTAATCACAATTATTTGAGAAGTAATAAAGATTGAGAACAAACTATACACACAAATTGAAAGTTGGGAAGCATGCATTAAAACGTGGCCGTTTCTCTCGGGTCAGAGATTAGATTGAAGAAGCACCGAATGTGTTTTCGCCACTGTAAGTGATGTAAAGGAAGCCATCTTCGTCTTTCTTATCCTCATAAACGCTTGACATTAGCTCTCCTGTTGGAGGGAGAACATTGTCTACGAAAATGAAGATAGCTTTCTCTGCACTTAGTTTGATTCTCTTCCGAATCACATACACAAATTGACCAACTGTTAGGTCTGATGGAACAAGGTACCTGCATTAATCAAACCCAAAACAAATAAAAAATTCCATACAAGTCTTGAAAAATTGAACAAATAACAAGTTTAACATGATCAATGAAAAGGTACTTACTTCTTCTTGTCTATATTTGGGACTTCACTTTTCTCAGCCTTTTCCACAATCACCTGCGACCAAACACAATGTAAGATAGTGATCTGAATCTTGAAGAAAAAAAACAAACAGTATTGGATTCTTAAACAAAGAAGCTAATGTTCTGTAACCTAAACTAGGAATATTCACTGCGAAGATTCATGATCTTGTTCGTGCAATTGAATTCAGCATACATTGATACATACTCACAAACACATGTACAAAAACATACGAAAACTTTACTTGAACAGAACAGAACAAAAAAGATCAAAAAACAAAACAAAGACTAACTAAACTACGAAACTAATTACAAAAATTCATGTTCTTGTTCGTGAAATTGAATACAGCATACATTGAAACACACGCAAAACACAAATCTATAACCATAAGAAAACCTTACAAGAACAGAACAAAATCAGATCAAATCAACCAAAAAAAAAAACAAAGAACTTACAGGAATTCGATCAGGGTATTTCTCCCTGATCCTTCCAGCTTCAGCCTTTCTCTTCTCTGCACATAAAACAATCTCGAACAATCAGATATACATACACAGATTACAGATACGAACGCTGATAGACCTGTGTTTATACTGGTTCCAACCTAAGATCACAAAATCGAATCAGTAGAGAAAAAAAGACTAACCGAAATCGTTGTCCATCTTAAAGCTGCTTCCTTTATTCATCTTTGCTTCTGATAATTTATACAAACAGTCAAATTTAGACACAAAACCCTAATTTTTTCCAACACCCAAATCAAAAGTCTGCGTCTTTACGGGAAAATTTGCCTTGTAATTCTAGAGAAATCGAAACAGAGAAATCAATTAGATAACTTACAGAGAGAGAATTTGATGGAATGGATAAGGATAAAACTCTGGAAGAAGAAGAAGATGATGATGATCTACGGATGGATACAAAGTCAAAAAAAGAAGGAACCTTTTGCTTTTCGTCTATGATTGGATAACTTGTTTATATGTGTGTGTTAGCTGACGTGTTGAGTAATTAGACACGTCAGCTTAACTTGTTCTCCAAACAACAAAATCATTTCATTATTGCTCAAACATATTTTTCTTCTTTGTTTAAAGAATTTTCGTTAGGTCAATGTCAATTCTTTTAATTAATACTATGTCTTTGAGATTAATAATACTACTACTACGTAATATTATACCAAATTTTGTTTAATTTATTGTTAGTTTTTTCCTTATACTTTTCCTTTTAGTGTTGAACACGTCTTTGATTTGCCTTTTTCCTCACCTTTTCTTTACCTGATTTTTTTTTCCTTGGAGGTGTTTTATTTTTTTACGGTTTATATTGTTAACTAAACATGTAAAGCGAAATTACATATTCGTAGATGATATTTCTCATGTGGCGCTATAGAAAACAAATTACTATTTTAATTACCCATACAAATATCTGATTTTGGGGATCTAGATGATTTAGAAGTCGATATTTGTGGTGCAGGGACCTCAACAAATAATACGGATTATTCATTTCATTATTTGGATAAAATCGAATAATAAGGATTGCTCAACTTTAATGGGCCAGATTACGTAGTAAGTGGGTCTATCGTAAGTTTACGATAAATACGAGGTTTGATGAGACAGAAGACAAAGGCCCAATATAATATGTCTGTCATCTTTTCAAATCTCCTCGCTCTACCAACAAAATGTTCAGAAATTATCAAGAATTTTGTATAAATATATCATATATATATATATATATTTTGTCCACAACCTCAAAATATTTCATAACCTTCGAAAATCTTTAGTAATAGAGATGTTAAGGAACATAAATAAAATGAAGAAAGGTACTATATAATAGGAGCAGTTCATCATTGCCAAATGATTAATGGAGAATGTATGTAATAGTGCATCGTATAGTTTTATATTTCAACTATCCCTAGATTTTAGCAATAGTAATTAAGATTTAATAATGTATTAATCGATGATTATCTTGTGTTGTTGTGTTGGTCGTTGTCTTAACAAAAGAGACCATATATTATAACCATTTAGCAGCATTATTGTACTTCCGTATTTGTTATTTTCAGCCATAAGCATAAATCCAAACATACCATCGATACAACTATGTATGCCATGTTCATCTTAATTTAGTTTTCATAATTTAATAACGAAATTTCTACAACTAGAGTTCCATTATCGATACACTTTTCCTATTTATGTTTTAAAGTGATCGATAATAGTAACTCTGCGCAAATGCCACTAAGGTCCGAAGCCTGTGTATGAGAAACGTATTAAGAAGATTTTTTTTATATGCAAAACGTTAAGAAGTGAAGACTTAATTTAAATATAAATTATAACAAAAAAAAGAAAAGAAATATCATATTGCATATAATATACTACAATTGAATATCTCTACACAAGTGGCACGTTAGTGGTGTCCCTTCTTTAGCTAGTCATCACCTCTAAGATTGAATAAGCAAGTTGGTAATTTGTATTCTAAAAATAACAAAAAGGCACGAAAAATAATTTAATGCGATACACATTTTGTTTTAAGACAGAGTAACAATAGTGGTGGAAACTCACATGGAGGTTTGTGATTTGTCTTGGGAAATAAACCATGTCTCTCATAATGACAATGCTCAAATTTTATAATAATCTGATTTTGTATGGTTTAAAAACATAAATTTATGGTTAACTCAAGGCAATACTGATACATAATAATAACATAATAAGCATGTCTAGTTTACATTCATACACAAGCAACCAAAAATTTCAATCTTGTCTTGGAAATCCAGCTGCACATCTCCTTGTTTGATTTTCATTTACTCCACTTATTGTTGTTAATTACTTATTTGTATGTATATATATAATGACCACTTGATTTTTGGCAATGCTATTATATTTTGTTGTGTGATTATGGTTGTATCTTATAGTGTTAGATACGGAATAAAGAAATATGTTAGCGTGATCCATGTTATGTCATCGAGGTGTTTCATTACCACGAATTTTCTTAGAAATTGTGAACAACATATTGGGACCGTGCGATTAATCTGATTTGTGTTGGCAAGAAAAAAAATTGTTTTATAATTTAACATAAGTTTGGTTTCCAACACAGTTGTTTAGTGTTTTAATATCGTTTAAGTATACCTAATGTAAATAGTTTATTAAGAATGGACAAAAGGTACATTAACTACTTAATACTTAAATTAATTATTTTTTTTCAAACAAATAATAGAGTGAAAGTTTTGAACATAGCACTGTCATTTTCATTGACCCAAATTAACATATAAAAGTACCATTTTATATAATAAAAACTTAACAAAACAGTGGATATACTTAGACATGCTTTTACACAAAAAAACGTATTTTCTTTAAACTTAAAAACATATATGATTACAATGCATTTTCAAGAAAGTCCTAATAAATTTGAATAAAATAATGTTAGTTATTTAACTAACACATGTTATGATTAACAACTTTGAGTTCTTTGCAAAAAAGAGTTTAGTTTTTAAATCAGGAGTTTAAAGTAATCGACACCACCACCATCTTAGATTTTGTAGTTAAGATTAATTTAAAGAAATAAAGAAAAGAAAGAATATTTGCACCATAATTTAGAGCCGATGGATTTTAAGTGAGACAAAGCATCTCAGCCGTTGAAAGATTTTGGTCTCGATGTTTTCAAAAAATCTTCAAAAAGCCACACAGAGAGACACTCAAATAGAGCACCGGTCCGTCAGATTCAGTTTCGAAAACCAGGCCCAAAGCCACCACCTGCCAGACCTGTTTCCCCTCTAATTACTATATTAGCCCTCTCTCTTTCGTAGTGTTGTCCTCGAATCTAAAGGATAGAATAGGGAATTCGAGTATATAATTAGTAATGAACCATCTGCGTCAGTTTCGTCTTTTTGCTCTGTTTCCTCGGCATATGTAAGATTTTTTTTAAAAATACACTGTTTCAGATCAGTGACCTCTTTTTTTTTTTTTTTTTTTCCATTATTTTGGAAAAAAGTATTCGAAAATAAAGTACGTGAAAACGGGAAAAGATTTGAATTGAGGGGTGGAATTCTTTTTATTTTATATTCCTTCCGTTATTGTATTATTTTTCAATTGTATGTTGGAAGAATTTGTTTTAGATTTTTTGAAGAAAGAAATTAACCAATTCAAATAAAAATGGCAAAAACATGTTAATACCTTTTGCGGAAATGTTGTTGTAGAGGATTAGCCAATTATATACATCATCACAAGATCACTAAATTCGTTGTACACAAATATGATAAGCAACTAGTACTATGGAAGCAACATTCTATTAAAAAGAACAAGGATTTTGAAAGCTTACGGCCAACATCGAAAGAGTAAGACAAATTAAGTTTGTGGAGAGTAGAGTCACGCGCAGCATTTGCGAAGAGACTCGACAATGATGGCACGAGAACACGGTACATATGTAGATAAGTACATCTACAGACATAAGCCACACATAGAGGAAGAGAAACCAAAAAAAAACACAAAAGAAAAAAAAAATGAAAATTCCTTATTACAAAAACCAAAAGATTTAGAGAGAGAGAGAGAGAGAGAGTTGATGAAGACCACTTTTTATATATTGCACGCATCCATATAACAGCTACAGCATCAGAGAAAAAAAAAGAAAGTTATTTTAGAGAAAGAAGAAAATTAAAGAAAAAAAGTTGGGGCGCCAATTACAAGTTTTTGAGCTTTGCATGTGTTTCTTTCTTCCGTACATTAACCTCTCTGAAACATAACCTCTCTCTCTCTTCTTCTTTTGTTGTCTTTCTGTTCTGTTCTGAGATCTATCTCTCTCTCTAGGGTTCTTTTTTTTTTCTGGGTTTTTTTCTTTAGTTACTGTGTGTTGTCGAGGAGGCGATGCCCTTATCCTTTGAAAGGTTTCAAGGGGAGGGGGTGTTTGGTTTATCTTCTTCTTTCTATTCAGATTCTCCTAAAATCTGGTCCAATCAAGACAAACCCGAAGCAAAACAAGATCTTGGTTATGTTGTCGGTGGTCTTTTACCGGAGCCGACGTCTGTTCTCGACGCTTTAAGGAGTCCTAGTCCTCTCGCTTCTTATTCTTCTACCACCACCACGCTGTCTTCCTCTCACGGCGGTGGTACCACCGTCACCAACACCACCGTAACCGCCGGTGATGATAATAGTAATAAATGTAGTCAGATGGGTTTGGATGATCTTGATGGTGTTCTCTCTGCTTCTTCTCCTGGTCAAGAACAGAGTATCTTGAGACTTATCATGGACCCGGGTTCTGGATTCGGTGTTTTTGACCCGGGCTTTGGATTCGGGTCTGGTTCCGGGCCTCTGCCGGTGAGTGAAAATTCGAATCCTTTGTGTAGCTTCCCGTTTCAAGAGATTGCGAATCCAGCAGAAGCTTTGATCAATCCTACAAATCACTGTTTGTTCTCTAATCCTCCGTTATCTCCACCGGCGAAACGGTTTAATTCCGGATCTCTTCATCAACCGGTTTTCCCTTTCTCGGATCCGGATCCGGGTCACGACCCGGTTCGTCGTCAGCATCAGTTTCCGTTCCCATTTCCGTTTCACCACAACCAGCAACAACAAATGCCGTCTTCTTCTTCGGCGGTGGCTATGGTTCCGGTTCCGTCGCCGGGAATGGCCGGCGATGACCAGTCAGTCATCATCGAGCAGCTGTTCAACGCGGCGGAGCTAATCGGAACCACCGGAAACAACAATAACGGCGACCACACCGTTCTCGCGCAAGGGATATTGGCGCGGCTCAATCACCATCTCAACAGTAACCATAAGTCTCCGTTTCAAAGAGCGGCTTCTCACATCGCTGAAGCTCTCCTTTCACTCATCCACAACGACGCATCACCACCGTTAATCACGCCGGAGAATCTGATTCTCCGAATTGCCGCTTACAGATCCTTCTCCGAAACCTCGCCGTTTCTCCAATTCGTTAACTTCACAGCGAATCAATCGATTCTTGAGTCCTGCAACGAATCAGGGTTTGATCGGATCCACATTATCGATTTCGACGTTGGATATGGAGGACAATGGTCATCTCTAATGCAAGAACTCGCCCCTGGAGGAAGAAGAAGAAACAGAGCATCATCTCTGAAATTAACAGTCTTTGCTCCTCCTCCTTCAACAGTCTCCGACGAGTTCGAGCTCCGGTTTACAGAGGAAAATCTCAAAACTTTCGCCGGAGATGTCAAGATTCCGTTTGAAATCGAGCTGCTAAGCATCGAGCTTCTTTTAAACCCAGCTTATTGGCCACTCTCTCTCCGTTCATCGGAAAAAGAAGCAATCGCAGTGAATCTTCCCGTAAACTCCGTCGCCTCCGGTTACCTTCCGTTAATCCTCCGTTTCCTTAAACAAATCTCACCAAACGTCGTCGTTTGCTCAGACAGAGGATGTGACCGTAACGACGCGCCGTTTCCAAACGCCGTGATCCACGCGCTTCAGTACCACACTACTCTGCTTGAGTCTCTTGATGCTAATCAGAATCAGGACGATTCGAGTATCGAGAGATTTTGGGTTCAACCATCGATTGAGAAGCTGTTGACGAAACGACACCGTTGGATTGAAAGATCTCCACCGTGGAGAAGCTTGCTCACACAATGTGGGTTTTCTCCGGCGAGTTTGAGTCAGACGGCGGAGGCTCAGGCGGAGTGTTTGTTGCAGAGGAATCCGGTGAGAGGGTTTCACGTTGAGAAAAGACAGTCTTCACTTGTCATGTGTTGGCAAAGGAAAGAACTTGTTACTGTCTCTGCTTGGAAATGTTAGAAGAAGATGAAACCACAAAATCTCTCTAAGCTAATTTCTCTGTTTTTCTTTTTTCAGATTTTAAATGTTGTTATGTTGTTCAATGTTGTTCTTAGTTTCGACTTTGGTACTTGTTTTAACATTTTAAGGAAGTCAGGATATATAATCAAAATCTCCTTTTGTTAGATTTTATTTTGCTCTTTTTGGGTTAATGCATAAATCTCTTATCCAAAAACAGAAATTGTGAAAGAGATATGGTTACTTCATAATTGAGTTTATGCATATAAAGTTATAAACTTCTATTTTGGGCAAAAATAGACTTGTGGAAAACTCTGTTAAAGAGCCTATTCCACATTTATCTTGTCATTAGAATGTACCAAGGAATTAGTGAATGAATACTCACGGTACATGCGAGATAACACATTCTACGAAGTAATTGTATATATTAAAATTTACAACCAAAAAGTGAAAGCTAATTGAATTTATCATTTGGTTTTTGGAGCTTCCAAGGTTGAATGTTTGTTTAATCGTCTCGGGTCCCTAACGGATTTTTTGGCCATGAAAAAGTTTGTTTTTCCGTCATAAAAAAGGTTAGGACTTTAATTGCGTACAATGTTTATTTAGATGTATTCATAAATCATAAGCTTTTAGCTTTAAATATACTTGTGCATTATTGTAATACGACTTTTGTTCGTGAAATCACATGCTCCTAAAGTCATTGGTGCTTGATATTATAATCTCAGTTTTGATTATAGGACTTTTTATATGTTAACTAAATTGGAGGGTCTTGATTTTCGACCAACCGCTTCATTTAACTAATGTCGATGACGTCGGTGTAGAAAACTAAATATTGTTTAATCATGGCCATAGCCCGTAGTAGCTAAAAAACGTGTAATTTTATAGATTGGCTGGATTAGAAAAACAAATAATGAATATATTTACCCTACATATCTGTTTATATCAATTATTGTCGTCTTTATTTACTAAGATCTATATCTAATCCACTAGCATCTTACCTAACTATTAATAAAACACTAGATAAAGCTTTGTTTTGGGTGCGGTTAATTTGATAACAAAAAAAATGTTAAATTTTGTTCTTGTATTATTCTACTTTAATAAGTTTTGTTATTGGAGAAATAATTTTACGAACAAAAAATTGAAATGATGAAAGACCTTTCCAAAGTCATGTTTTAAATAATTTTTAATAAAAAAGCAAACGGAAACGAAGAAAATATTTAATATGAAAAAGTTTGGTTGTGACACCTCTAGTAGCGGATCGAGGTTTGCATGTTACTTTGTATGAAATGTTTTCGTTTTGGTTGCCTAATTTCGAAATTATCAGCTTTTGACAATATAAAAAGCATGCATCAGCTTTAACTTATAACTTTAAAACTAAAAAAGACATATAAATACGTCATCAATAAGATATGAGAATTTGAACTAGAAATATAATAACGTAAATTAAACATGGAGCCAAACCGACAACAGACACTTTTGTCTCCATGACTGCCAAAGAAAACTTCATAATTTTACTTTAGACATTAATTAAGAAACACCGATTCATGCACACACCTAGTCACCTACGTGCTTACAAATAATATTACATCTATGGCTTTTTTTTATTTCCTTTCAAGAATTTTATAGAAATAACAATCTTAACATTTCGTAAATTTGCGTTAAAAGTGAAAACTTACTATTTTGAACCACCTTTATTTTTATCACAATCTCCATGAAAAGTAAACAAAATATAAGAATCTCAGCCTAAACAACTAAATTCGTAAATAACTTTACTTTTTCCATAGTTTTACAAATATTTAAATGTATGTGGTTAAAGTTTACCAAATTTTTTTTGTGACATTTCATAAGAAAGGAATAAACTTTGATAGATACAAAATCTTAGGCTGATGCTCGCTCCACCAATGTCTTCGTCTTCCCAATCATTTCTTCCTTTTTTTCCTCTTTATAATTGTTTTCTTTTAGTTCTTTAAAAATAAATTAATCTACCTTTTTCCACTCAATTTATAAAGTCTGCTTGGGAACAACGCATTCTCTATCAACCCCACATCATTTTAGTCCTCTTTTTTTAGTTTTCTTTTCTCAAGACCTCTTTTTAGTTTTTATCCATTTTATAAGAAAGATGACAAAAAACAAAACATAAAACAAACAAAAAAATCGAAATCTAGAAGTAGTAGAAATATGTGTAAAAATTGTAGATATAAAAATCTCTGTGTTGTCTAAAAAACACATATATTGTTCAAATTGGATTGAGCAGCGTCAATGGAGTCGTGGTAGACCTATCAGTCCATCACCATCAAAATAATTGCAATTCGGCATTAATCATGTTTTAGGGTAATTTAATAAAGTCAAACTTTATACATTTTCCATAAGAAGAAAGAGTTCCTAAGGAGCTTATAATTTATCTAAAAATTAAAAGATGAAAATAATAATTCGTATGACTACCAAATTATGCACCCCAAAAGACTGCCCTTTTGGGTCAACTATCAAACATAAACCAAACGCAAACCGATTGTTACATCGTACCAAGAAGCAACATACCGGCTCTGCTTTCACCTCCTAGTCCTCTGCATCTTTCAAAGGTAACAACAGTGAACACTGCACCATTTGTTTCACAGCTACATTGCCGGATTTTATCGTGGAAATGCTTGTAAGTTTCCTGAAGCTATGGTATTTCCGGTAGATCATCGAACTCCATAAAGTCTTAGGGATGTTTTGATGAATGAATAAGCTAGTGCACCGGTGAAAATGTAACTATCAACTCTATCTAATATTCCACCTGCAAGCATGGGAAAGATAGAGGTAGCGGGAGTGAGAAGAATGGCATTGATTTGTGGATCAATTAAGGGTGACATTACCGTGTCCTGGGATGAGTGAACCAGAGTCTTTGACGCCGGCATCACGCTTGATCATTGATTCAGTAAGATCACCAAAGACTGACCCAAAGAAGTTAAGAAACCCAAAAGCTATTGAGCTGAGGAAACCAAAAACAAATGAACCATTGAGAAACAGAAAGATAACGAGAAACCGAGTTCAATATAATGAAATCTCTTGAGTACCTGAACAGAGATTGAGGCCAACTAAGAGATCTAGAGAGTAGAATGGTTATGGCTATACAACCAACAAGTCCTACAATAGTCCCCTCCCATGTCTTTTTGGGACTAATACTAGTAAGGGGTGTCCTACCAAAAGCCTGCAACTTTTTTTAGTTAAAACTAAATTCAAAGCGGTTATAGAAAAAAAACTTATCTGTGAGGTATCATTATTGGTGTTACCTTGCCACCGAGAAAAGCAAATGTGTCCGTCGCAATTACACCGCTAAAAGAAATCAATGTTGCCACAAGTCCAACTGTCCAATGAGCTTGACCACCAAGAAGAATTGGCCATGTCCTTCCAATACCTTTAGAATTAAAAGGAAAAAAGTGGTCAAAAGGACATCTGAAGTAGGAGGAGAAAGTAGAGAGCTTTGCCTCAATAAACTGAACTTTAGAGATATAAAAGGCGAGAGCTTGCCAGTGTTAAGCGCAGGAGCAGCTAAACCACAGCGAAGCTTAACCCAGAAACAAGGGAGATAACCACAGTAAAATAGACCAAACATTGTACTACTCAGTTGAGCAAAACGTGGGGATCCTCTCTGTACTAACAATGCTATTGCAACCAGAAATGCTGCGGATGTCACCAATATATCAATGTTACCAAAGTACCTAAAAAGATATTTCATAAAATCTGTTAAGGAGAGAAGTCATATCACATGGATAACAAGACAAGCTTCGATGTAGAGCGTTTTAGCTAAACTCACAGTGTAAGTATGGGCATAAGGGCACATATAACTGAGCAAACTCGAGATACATATCGTGGAGGAGGTGTCATTCCTTTAGCTATGCCTCTACTTCTAACGAGCTCGAAATATTCGCGGGAACCGATAAAAACAGAAGCTGCTAAGGCTACAGTGAAAACCCATCCTCCAGCTAACACAACACATCCAACAGGTAATCCAATGCCAATACCAAAGATCACTCTTTTCTTAAGCTGGCTTGCTTTCTTCTGCTTATCTTCCACATTTTGCAAGTCATGGATTCTATCAATTCCCTGAAAAAGAAAGACCAATAGAGGAATTAGTGAAGGCTCACTGACTAGACAATGATCAAATCCCTACTACATTCTGATAACAATAAAGCTGATTCTCATTCCTAAACACTATCAAGTCATTGCTCAATTAAGCTAAAATTTGAGTCTTTCTATCTCTCTATGTTTCTCCATCTCGGTCAATGTTGAATAAGGGAAATTGCTTCTTCTAGAGTTACAGATTGGAGGAGAAGGAAGTATAAAGTGATTACCTTTGCGTTGTCATCATCACCAAGCTGGTCTGATTCAGCTCGAGCAACGGCAGTGAGGAAACGCCGTTTAACAGAAACCGGACCAAGGCCGGAACGAAACAATGGTTTGGTATCACCACCGACGAGACGCAGACCAGATAAAGGGGGAAGAATTAAGGGTTTTTTAGAGAATGAACGGCAAGGGCATGTACAGCGAGAAGTTGATAAAACAAGTTCAGCAAAAGACGCCATTGCTTTCAAAATGATAGGGAAAAAAACAGAGGAAAAAGAGAGTTTTCTTGAAAATCAAAATCTCTGAATCATCATATCATGTCGGAGAGAGTGTGTTTGTGTGTGTCATTCGGTTATCTCTCGGCGAGTTTTGTATTGTAGCTAGGTAGAATAAGAACCTTCTGAATTAAGTAGAGACTTCGTATCCTCGCTAAAACAGTCAAGAAGGCAACACTTTTTTATTTATTCTATGAGAGATGGAGAGAAAAAGTTAGTGGAGAGAAGATAAAAGACACAAAAGTCTTTGGTCTACACAAAGTTGTAAAAAGAGAGATGAAAAAGGAGATTTTGTGAAAATTCTAAGTCTTATGGAAACCGTAATACAAATGCTCTAACGCACTAAGTTCAGAATTTTAACCGAAGGTGCATGACGATGATAAGGTAGAAGAGAAGATTGTCCTCCTCACACAATTTGATTTTCTTTCTTTTTCAATGCTTTTAAAGCACTTTTGAGACTTGTGGAGTATTTTGTTGAAGCGAGCAGATCATGTCCTCTTCATAATGTATCCCAAGATTAAACCGATTAGTCCGACCAGAAGAACGTACATGAACGGGATTCCACCACTCTGACTTCTCTTGCTTTCACGCTTCAACTGGTCCTGCAATTTTAAATCTTTTTGTTATCCGAGAGGTTCTTGTTTCGCAAAAAAAAAGCTAACGGTATAAAGATTTAATTGAGCTTAAACCTAACTACTCAATGAACAAGAACACGGCTGCTTCTCTAAAACCAGGGAAACTAGTTATGAAAGTGCTTGCCATGTTGCTAATCATCAATCACCCATCGCAGACAAATATTTTCTTTGATTCCTAAAACAACCACCGGGAGGAATAGTTCAAAATATACAAGGATCAGGTGAAAGTTGCTTACCAATTCTTGTTGAAGCCTGTTGTTCAGTTGAACCGCAGAGTTCTTTTCCTCGGTGAGTCTTGTGACCAATGCTCTTGCCTGATATCATTCAAATCAATAGGTGTCAAAATTACATGTAATAGAATGACCACTAAGGTCTCCTAACTTCAAAGGTAAATTGTGCCAAATAATAGCCAATACGTTTGTTGCATCTTAGACCAATGCAATTGCATGCATAAACTGATTAGTAAAAAGCTAAAACTACAGCAGAGGGAACCATATTCCTCTGACAGTATTGAGGTACTCAACACTGCTAAGACATTGGTTAAAGCTTTAAACAAGGCAAGCATTATTTTCAGTGATAAACAAAAAGATTTAAGATTATAGGACTAATAGATTTGAGAAATTCACATCAAGCAGTGTAAATAAACGAGCCATTAAGGTGCTAATCACTGGAATGATCTGAACTTAAACAAAAGAAGACTAACTGCTCTAAACGACCTGATAGAAAAGAGAATTCCATAGGTTTGGATGGTAAACTAATGTAGGTAGCGTAATGGTATAAAACTCATGCACTCTTCTTTATCATGCCAAGGTAGCTCAGTTTCATGAAAGTATCAAACGGGTAAAAAATTACCTCAGATGAGTTATCCTGAGCATCAACCCTGTCCGCGCTAAATCTTGGAGCCTAAAATTAAACAAGATAATGCAAGAATATCAACTAAAGTACAAAAAGGAAATATCTACAATATCCTTCTCTTCTAGTTATAAGGCAGTATATTTCTTGGCTATTTAAGCAAGAGATGTATACTTACAGCAGTAAAATCAGAAGCATTCCCATTATCAGAGACAGAAGCCCTTGGTGAAGAGCCCTCTTCAGATCCTTCTCGAACCGGTGATGGTGGTCGTGGTGGAGCAACATAGATAACTCTCAATTTAGTCTCTTCGACTCGATGCCCTGCCTCTTTGCTAAACTGCAGTGTTCATTACACAATAAAACATTGCTAAATAACCAAAGCTTCCAAATCAGAAAGTACTCAGATAATAAACAATATCAATAAATACCATCTCATGAGTAACATCCTTGGGGGTGGCTCCGGGACTAGCTACTACACATTGAAGCAAGAACTTATCTTTACACTGCATATCAGCGGGAGCTTCCTTTTGAGCTTGCATGGTCACTAATTACAAAACAAAAACCAAAACTAGTTTAGTAAGTTGCTCATCTTTTTCCATTGAGATCAATTACGAAGAGGAAAGAGACAAAACCTAAAACTTCAGAAGAGGATCTGGGATGAACAACACCAGTATTAGGCCTAACGCAGTACTTCTTTGGATTCGTCGTCTTAACCTTTAAAAAATTGAACCTTGCAAACATTAAGATAAACACAAAAATCTCCAAGATAAAATTAAGAAAAATTCAAAAGCTAAAATCACCTTGAAGGCGACATAATTATCGGTCTTGTTACCCAAATAGAGAGAACAAGAGATCTGCTTCTTCAATTCAACTATACATGATAAAAAGATTCACAAAATCATTAAACTAATTCGGAAAAAGACAGATCTAAGACATATGCGAATCATTGAAAAAAAGCTTACAAGGGAATTGAAGGTCGACAGGATCGATGGTGAGAAGCTCGTTACTCATTTCTGTTGAGGTATTTATTCCGATTCAATTGATTGATTATAAAACAAATCTTTAAGAAGGCAAATGAAGTTTTGGTACGGTGACTCTGATCTCCGGTGGTCGTCGACGATGGATGAGTATAATACGTAAACAAGAACAACGTGGGACAGCAACGTATGTCTTGTTTCTCTTGCCGTCTCCTTAATTAATTTAGACCGGAGACTCACTTATTTTTATTACTATTATGCCCTTAATAGTCTCAGTTCTCAACTTCTCATAGTGAGTTTTCAGGGTTATAGAAGTCAATCTGACTCTTTGACCAGGACAAAAAAAAGAGAATTTATTTTGGCTTTCTCTCTAAATCTCTTTTTTTTTTTCTCTCCTCTAATAAACAAACATAGAGTCAAATTACAGCAAAACGAATCAATTATACTTATTTATACGATTCGTCGTTTTCTACATATCAACTAATCAACATTTGTGTTTAATTATCAACAAAACTGATTGATAATAATAACAAGGTTAATAAGTTATGGATGGATATCGGAGGAAAAAAGATGATGAGAGTGACCAAAATGACCCAGATCCGTAACCAGAATTCAGGCTTAAAATGGTTTAGTTACATCCTCATAAAGTCCATTCCAAGGTTCCAAGAGAATTAAAATAGAGACACAGTTGGTTCCTCAAGGCACAAGACATATAACTAAGTAGGAAAGAGGTGGTTGATATAGTTGATGTCTTCTAAGTGCCAGACGCTTTAGACTTGCTAATCTTGAAATAGTACGCAATTGCCCCCAAGATTATAAGAGTCAGATCCGCACAGTAAAACCGTGTAAATGTCCGCACTACAACAACGTGTGACTAAAAGAGTTAAGTTCAACAAAACAAAGTCCAAAACCATACATACATGATACATATATAGCATAGATCAAGGAACTTACCAAGTTGTGCCTCGGCCATGTCCTAAAAATGCATAACGATTTTCCGTTGAAAGAAGAAACAACATAATGTTCGTAAGCAGAGAGTTTGAAAAACCTTACTAAGATTATTAGAGCATGTTCAATTGATTAAAGAGGTGAAGTGATTAATAAAGATTAACAAAGGATAAAAGAAAGAAGTTTACCATGATATGGTATGGATTGAACAAAGGATTATAAATGTCGACAAGGCCACTAATCTCCTCAGGTTCGTCAAGCATAGGAGGACGTAACCAGATAATCTTTTCTCCATCAAGGGGACACACACAAGGTTCTCTCTGTTTCTGGAGTGACCAGAGGAATAAGATACAATTCACTGTTGCATTAAAAAAAAACAAGTTTAAGCCTAATTGATATCAACACCACCCAGAAGAGGCTAATCCAGTATCAAGGTTTGTGTTAGACAAAGCTAAAAAAATCCTCTGAGTCACATTAGAGTGGGTTAAAGAAGAATCTAACCGCAGAATCTGTGGTCGCAAGGGTTGACGATAACTACCGGAGAAGAGTCTGATAAGCATCTACGGCATTGAATAGCAATAAGAGGCTTCTTTCTGTCTGCGAGAGAAAACCACAAGTCTTGGCACAGAAGAAAAGCAAAATCTATAGCTGAAAAGATATGGACTAATAATTTTGACAAAAAGGTCACACACAATTCTAAGATTATTTCCAATTCAAATCAGCCATACATACATAACCACGTAATTCTGATTGATTTAGAAATTCGGAGAAAAAGAAACGCATATAATTCAAGTATGATCGAGAATTGGAGAAAAGAAAACTACCAGTCCTGGTTCGACGCTCTGATGATGAAACTCTCGGCTTCGACGCCTGAAGATTCTTTGATGCCAATTGTGGTTTCAGGTCTCGGGACTTGCCTTGAAATGTCTCCTTCATCTTAGTGCCTACATAGGAAACCAAGGAAAACATGGCGATGGAATTTGGGATTAGGGTTTGAACTAAAGTAGATAAATAACAAATTTGGTATCAATTTCGCGCGAAATACTGTAGGGTTTTTGTTTGTTTGTTTGTTTGTTTGTTCATAGGTCTTTAGAGATACCAAAGACGGCCCAAGGCCCAAATATTCTGGGTGGGTGGGTCAGATTATTTGGGAATGAAGATAAAAATGGCCCAATAAAATCGATCAGTAATCCATTACACTCGAGGAAATTCATTAGATTAGTTAAAAAATGGTCTACATGAAGGATTTTATATCAGTAATCCATTACCGTATCTTATTTCATTGCTTCGACAAGTTGGTAAACTAAATTAGAAACATTATTCTATTGGTGGAGCAAACCTCCTTTTCATGTTTCTCTCTACATCAAGAGAAAGAAACAACTAGGAGTCAGATTATTAACACGATCTAAAAACATCTATACTAACTAGAAGATGGAAGAAATGCAAAAGATAGACCAGTTTTTTTGGAGTAGACGTCACTGTAAACTCTAATGAGACACTGATCCCTTGAACATTGATATTGGAGTGCAAAAGCCGGAGCTTGATAATGGGAGACCATCACTTCAAGTGTTGTCCTAGGGTTAAGCTCGAATTCGAATCCCATCGCAACAGTCTCCTCGAGTGAAGCGCGCATTAAAAACGGTTTATTCATCTCAGTGAGCGACACAAATCTGGGGTGAATCCGATGGCGGGTTGAAACAACGTATTTATCAGCGTCTCTGCCAAAAGGAAAACATATTCAGAATCACGCAATGCTTATTGTATATGAGGAATCAACGGTTTAATCTACTAACCCTCTTATCTGTACAGAGGCATTCCCTGCAATAATAGTGAGCCCAAGATACCACTTATCGAGCTTCTGGCTGTTAATGTCAACAATACTCATGGAATTGAGTTCCAAACCCGAGAGATAACCAAGGAGTCTCAAAGTACCAGTGAACTGAGCCATAGGACGGGTTTTGTACATCAACCTAGCACCAATTTCACCATACTTAAGCTTATACAAGATCCCAATCTACACCAATAACAAGTAAAAGTAAGCAAGCAAGCAAAATCTTGAAAAATCTATGTATACTCTATTACAACACGCACCTCTTCATTGAAACAAGTAGATTTGATAGAGTTGTAGTCATACTCCTGAAGATTTTCTGATGTCAACTGTAGTTCCAGGCCCTGAATGTTTTTAGCTTTGATATTACTGACCTCATCTCTTTCAAAGTAGCCAAATTCTGCTATAGACAAAATCAAATCCAGATTTTAACAATCAATCTCTCATTTACTAAATTCCGAGACTTGCCAAATTTCAAAAGAAAAATAAAGGTGATAACTTTCAGGACTTGCCTTCAAATGTCTCCGCAATCTTATTGCCTGCAGAGTAAAGGAAGGAAAACATCGCCGATGATCGAAATTGGGGGTTTAGGGTTTCGACCGAAGAAGACGATCAAGTAAGTGTACGAACAAATTGCTATCAATTTTGCGATTCTCTCGACCCGTCGTTATGTGTTGCAATATGGGCCTGTCAGTAAAAGACGACCCAAGGCCCAATTGTTGTGATTTTAACTGGTTTTTTTTAATGGTACTATAGACTATAGAGTAAAAAAAAAAATCTGCTCATTAAAATTCGAAAAGAGTTACAAATAATAACGATAATGCCATTGTCCATGTAATTAAGCTGATTATACTTGTTCTAAGATGAGTGACAACAACATCAAGGAATAGGTATGGGAGAAGAGAGATGAACAGATCGGAGAACAAGATCGGAATCGGAGATATTTAGCGGTGGAAGTGAGAATGCACTATAAGTCGAACTTCCTCTTCTCATCTCTTTCATTGTCAACAATGCCGCAACCGTATTCCTAAATATCCCTACTCCCGCCGCTGCCGAAGTCACCGCCGCACATCTCTCGTATCCTTCCGCCTCCGCCACCGTCACGGGAAACACCGCGTCCATCGTCGTCTCCCACTCTCTCACTAGTCTTGAAACAAGATCAGTCTTGAAAAACGGTTGATGAAGAACTTTCTGTATAAACGGTGATCTTAATCCTCCTCCTGTTCTCTTGTCGTACTTCTTTAAAATCTTTGCTAATCCTGTAATAGAAACATATTTTCTCCGATCAGATTTTGAAAACTTCAAGTTTAAAAAAGAAAGAATTTGGTAACTCACTCACCAGTGTAATTGATGTTACTGTAGTTTACTAGAAGAACCATTTCTCCATGGAAATTGACAATATCTTTTCTCATCTCACTAATCTCCTCTCTAAACATTTCATCATTGTGTCCACATTTCTCAACCAGTCTCTGAATCCTATATTGCAATTCCTGCAATTTTTGTTTCATATAATCATATTAATTAAATCACACTCTATTAAAAATGTGTACAAAGTGATTTTTTATAATATGTAGAGAAACTTCCACCAAAAAAATACAATTAAAAATGCACAAACTAATTAATTGTCACATAATAATCCAAATTTCTATATTGGACAGACAAATTGCTAAAAACTATTGGATATTCACTTTTATAAAATAGACCCTCCAATTTATTTATTATTAACAAAATTTCCTCAGATCGTTTACACATTTTATAATCATAATATTTACCAACCAATCAAAAAACGATTTATTTCTCCTACACTTTTTAAAGATAGATCAGTGATTAATTTAAACACTTTTTTTCATAACGATTGGTTAAAACACTTATAGTTAGATCAGTTGACTTAAGTGAACTCAAGAAGAACAATCTCTCTGTTTTTTTTAGTTATACCTTGTGGTGGATGATGAAATCTTCTTCTTGTTCCACGAAGAAAGCATTAAATTTGTCGATCTCTGCGTTCAACAAACCAACGAAAATAGATTCCGCCGGCGCCGGAGAAGAGATCAGATTCTTGAGTTCCTTGTAACGGAGAAACTTGTCCCGCCACTCCGGCAACGACTCTTGTATCTGTTCTTTAATCCTCTTCCCGAACTTCATCAAAATATAAAACCTCAAATTCTTATCTTATTTTCTTTCTTTTAGTTAAAATGAAATTTATTACAATTGATAATGGGGGAAGAAGAAAGAGGGTAATATAGAGATATATAAATAGTGGTTGTGTAAAAGAATATGAAAGAGGATATGCTTAGCTTTGGCGTGACGAAGTGTTGTGAATGTGGCATGTAATAAAGAGATGAAGAAAATAAAAAGGTTAGATTATTGTTGTTGTTGTGTTGATGTAGAAAAAAAGATTAAAATCCTCTGGCATATTCGGTCTCTAACTTCTCTTTGAGTCTTATATTTGATTTTTTTATAATTATTTTTTTGTGTTTTTCTATTTTTGACCGGACCTTTTATGGTATGTTTGGTATATTACATGTGTTTGCTGATTTCATGCTATCTTTTTTCAAGGTATAAACTATAGAATTTAGGTTGATTCCTCGATTAATCCATTTGTTTTTTATTTTTATGAATGCATGCTGTTGATGTGACTGTGGGTCGCGTCCTCGAGAGACCGTCGAGCAGAAAGAAAGGAAGAATTTGCCGGGACGTTTGTGAGATTAGAGATTAAAGTGACTAAAATGACCTAGACCCGTGACCAGATTTTAGGGTTAAAATGGTAATTAATGAGATCTTCATAAAGTCTTATGACAAAGAGAATTCAAAGATTCCAAGAGAATCAAGCATCTTTTTTTTTTTTTTTTCACTGAAAATGGATTATATTGATATTGGAAGAGAAATAGGGCCTTTACAAAAGATCAAACTGGAAGTGACATAGGGCCTTTACAAAAGATCAACTAGTAACAACCAAAGGGTATGCAGACATACCGTTTCCCAAAAGAGAATCAAGCATCTATGGGTTGGTTTCTTAGCAAAGAAAAAGAAAAGACTCTTGAGGAACGAGGACAAACGAAGGTAAAAGGTTTAGCACAAAACCCATTAGAACAGGCTTGTTGTTTCAAGGCCCAAATACTAGATGAGTCCATAAAATAAAACTCCATGAACTATAGCCATGTTAACTTATAAATTTTCCTTTTTAAAATATAAAAATAACTAATAAAATTGACGTTATCAACCAAGTCCTTAACTAATAAAATTGAAATAGTTGATAAAGTACGAAAAAGGTCAACATAAGTGACTTCATTGATTGGGAATTTGAAGATTGATCATCATGTTGGGATTGAAGTCTAGTGTTAAGACCAAACACACTGGTGATTTTTTCTGAGTATCATTGGCCAAAAATAATTTTATAATAGACCAAACTACATAATTAGGCTTGATACGTATCAGTGGACTGATATCTGTGATACCCAGTTTCGTTGACGTGTCAGTTTTTTATTGGACAATGATTGTATTTTTTTGGTGAAAACAGAGAAAAAAAAAATCATTTGCTCTCAAACCCCGATCCCATCTCTCCTCCACCGATTCTTCTTCTTCTCCATTTCACCTCTCCATTTCTTCTGTGTGATCTAGGATTTCTGATTTCTGTTTTAAAATCACATAAAAATCAGGATTTCTGATTTCATTTTTAAAATAGCATGTTAATAGAGTATCGATAGATAGGTAGCTTCAACGTAAGGAATCTAAATTGGTTTTAGCTCAAAAGCGAAAACGATGGGTTCCATTGAAGAAGAAGCACGACCTCTCATCGAAGAAGGTTTAATATTACAGGTCTGTGCAATTTCGATATCTTGGATTCGGTTAATCAATTAGGTTTTGCGAATTTTGATTTTGCTGAAATTTCAAAACTTTCGACTTTAGATTGATCTTATGCATTTTCTTTCTGGGTTTATTGAGATCTTTTCTGGGTAATCACTGTTTTATCTTAGTGTTCTTGATCGTTTTTGACTTAGGTGATGATGTTTTAAATGATTTTAGTGGAGAGTGTAGTGACAATAGTGTTGATGTTTAGCTTTCTGACTTAGACTAATCATTGAGAGTGAGAAAACTGAATGTTGGAGAATGTTTTCATGGAGAGAATAGAAGATAAAAGCAAGTTTAACACATGATCAAGACAACAACAGAAGGAAGTTAGCCTCCGCCGATTTTCAATTCTTCCTTCCCGATCCTTCCTTCCCGATCCTTCCTTCGCTCCCTCCGCTTCTCCTCCGGCTTCATCTCTTCGATCCATTTCTTCTCTCTCTATAGTATCTGTGTTTCATGGTCATATCTCATGAGTGTATATAGCTTATGTGTCTATCGGTTCTGAAGTGAATTGAATTGAATTAGCTTGAATTAGCTTGTGCATACTTAAACTAGCAAATGGATTTGATTCTTGGGATCTTTCCACAGAGACTACAGAAAATCAGAAATCTTCTACACTTGAATCTTTACTTAAGTCTAGTTGTATCTGCATACACCAAATTTCCCTTGTAGATTATGCGTCATTCTTATAGTTACATTCTCTTGTTTGTATTTGCAGTTTCCCTGACGCTATACCGACCATGAAGCCAATGATGACTTCTCTTCCAAATGCATTTATTGCGACCAATACAAAAGTATTACTTGAATGGTTATAAATATGAGCTGGCTTTGAGCATTGTGTTCACGTTATTCTTTAATCATGTGATATATTTGGTTTCTCTCTAGTTAGAGAAGCTTTGGTTTGGTCTGTGAGCTATTTGATTTTCTTATGGAACTCTCCTCTCTTCTTACTTATACTTTAGGACTTTTTGTTTACCATATATTATTAGCTTTGGACTACTCCTTAAGCTAGAGGGTAATATTTATGCTTCTGGGTTTGTTTTTATTGTGTGTTGATTGTTTTGAGTTTCAGTTTTGGATTATTATTCTCTGTTTCAAAACCTCAATGGTTCTCTATCATCACAATTTAATGTCTTTTGTGTTGAGGTTTCTAGCTGAAATGAGATTGATGATGGCCATTTGATGGAGCATCAAATAGAGAAGAAGGATGGAGCCCCTAAGATGGATTAAGCAAGTTTGATTCTAGAGTGAGTGCAGCAAAAGATGAAGCTAATTCAATTGATATGATGGATACGTCACAACCAATAGAAACAGAAAACATAAATTATATAACTCTGTTTCGGTTTGCTTTGTAACTTGATTTATAAGTTATAACTTTGTTTTATTTTAGATTTGGTTTTGGATTTTTAAATTTATTTATATAATAATAAAGATTAAAAAAATTTAATAACCAAATACACAAATTTTAAAAAATCAGTCGCAGCTATTTATTTATCTTTATCATCATGTTTTTAATGTTTTTTTTTGCTTAAGTATATTCTATGTTTTTTTAGATTGTAATATTAACTTTTGTAATTTTATGTTTTTATATATTTATTTTTGATTTTGCAAATAATTTTTTTTTTTGATGATACTTAAACCGGTCTCACCAATGGAAACAGATTTATTATCAGTATCATAGAAAATCTCAAACAATAAACAAACATTAAAATTAATACTAAAAAAATGTTAATGATACTCTATGAGTATCAACTATGTGCATGCTCTAACATCGGCTAGGAAATCTATAAATTGATACGAGCTGACGTCTTTCATTAGCTAATGTCAAATGTTATATTGTGGTCTAACAAATGAAACAACATATGAGATAAGAATAGTTTTATATATATATATATATATAGATTTTTCGACATTCAAATTTTGATAAAAAGCTTATTTCTAGAGTATTTTATCCCCAAAAAGAAGGAGATAAAATACTCTCAAATCACACAGTTTTGTTATAAAAAAAACATAGATCACTAATACTTTGTGAACACTAAATCCAAGTGATTAGCCACCAAGCAAAAAATGGATTAACGATTTTAATATGTAAACATTAAATTCTAGTAAGTAGCCACCAAATTGCGTGATAACTGATAAGACTAGTCGAACTATCACAACAACTTTGAATCACAACAATGTTGAGTGGTGATTACGAACATATAAGTCATTGGGTTTGTTTCCAATCATAAGTAAAGAATAAAGTATACGTGAAGAATAATTCTAAGTAGGTGGTATAGCTCAAAACCCAAAGCCAAAGGCCAAATTTGATTCTACAGTGAAAATGATATAGAAACTATAAAGTTTGTTTCTCTTCTCTTTTTAGATTTGACTTTTTTTTTTATCCCCTAATAGTAGGCGAAAGAGATAGATGAAGTGGGCACTCTTACTTCTCTAGCTTCTAAATTTAAACAGTAATGTACCTAAAATTGCCAGAGAAACCAAGAATTTGATACACTTACGATAACCTTAAAAAAAGTCTAACAAACAAAAAACTAAAGAAAATTGAATGCTCTCTGATTTAGGCCAACACGACGTGAAGCTAGTACTGAAAAAACTTGGCGTTAGAACATGTAAAAGCAGCCTCCTTTGCATTAACATAAAATTTGATCAAACCCCCACAACACACAAAAAACAAAGAATAATAATAATAATCGAAAAAAGTTTTAAAATTTTGACAACCCGAATCACGCAAAGTCTGTTGTTAGTTGTTACCTTTCGTTTTCACCATTCATCGAACACCAAAGAGGTTTCATATTCTTCATTAGGTGCAGGAAGATTAAGATCAATCATCCTCTGTTTCACTGATACTTCTTCTTCTTCTTCTTTATCGTTTTGGACAATTTGACTTATTGACAATCCTCTTCCTGCTCCGATGTTACTTCCGTGAGATCTCTTATGGCCTCCAAGTGCTTGTCCTGAAGTAAAAACCCTAAAACAGATCGGACATTCATGAATTCTCTTCTCCTTGACTCCATGAACATACTCTGTTTTAACTTGCTCTGTTTTTGTCGTGCATGCCTTGTTCTTCTTGTGACTTGCTCTGTGTCCTCCTAATGCTTGATACGATTTAAACACTTTACCACAAGTCTCACACTTGAATCTACCTCTGTTCTTGCTCGATTTGTAATCTTCACTGTCATGATCTGTCTCATCTTCTTCTTCTTCTACACGTTGCTTCTTCTTCTTCTGTTGCTTCCATTTGTCTCTTGAGAGCATAATGAGACAAAAGGCGAGATCTTCCTCCGTTGTTGTATCAGAAGCTGAGCTGTGATGCTCTGGCGCCGTCACTAACTCACTGGGTTGGCTCGTTTTTAGCTTCTTAAAGTCGAAATCGAAGGATCCAAGTTTCCGAGTTCGCTTAGATCGTCGGCGAGTTGGGTTAATTCTCGACGACTCGGTTTCACTTTCAACGTCGTCGTCGTCTTCAGCGAAATCAAACTCCAATTCATCATCAAGAAGATTCATCTTTAGATTATCAAACTCACCGCAATTCAAATGATCTTCATCCTCACCAGAAGAAGAAGAAGCATCCGACTCTGTATCGTCGCCGTCACTGAGTTGACTCGGCCGTTCCTCTGCTTCGTCACCAGTTAATTCATAAAGTTCACGTTTTGCAGAAAGACTAAGCATGTGAGATCTCATGTGACCACCTAAAGCTCTTCCATTGATGAAGCTCTTGAAGCAAAATCTACACTTGTATCTCTCCATCTTCAACGACGACAAAATTACAGAACAGAGATAGAGAGAGAAAGAGCTTTTTGGGTTTATATCTCAAAGAAGAGACAAGAAAGAGTAGAGAAACTACAAAGGAGAGTAGGTGACAAAAGCATTCTTCTTCTACAACCAACGAACTAAGAAGAGACGAAGACAAACAAAAACAAATAAACTTAAATTCTTTTATTTAATTTTGTTTTTTTAACTTCCCTTTGTTCTCTCTCCCCTATATTTATAAAATTCTTTGAAACGGAAGAGTAAATATGGTTTTTTGAAATAATCTAATTAAAGCGTTTGCCATGAAATGGTGAAGAAAGGACAATGTAACATGCGAGCTATGCCCGTTTCTGCCAAAAAAAAAAAAAAACTCTTTAAACTTTCCGAAAATGCCCTTCTGATCAAACGGATTAAAAATAGCAAAATTTCTATTTTAACACCCCGAAATATCAGACGCAACGCGTCTTAGTTGTCTATTTTCAGCGGAGCTTTGATTTCAATGCGTCAAAATTAATTACTTTACCTTTACCTTAACCTCAACTAAGGGTATTTTCGGTACTTCACTTTTCTTTTGTTGTTGTAACGAGTCGGAACAGAACAAAGCGTTGTCCAAAAATGAGGGGGAGAATGTTAACATTTTTTCATGGCTGTCATTTTTTTGTTTCAGTTTGTGACAGCCACGTAGTTATTCAAAACGACGGTTTCACAACTTATCCTCACCCACCAGTAACTTTATCTCTCTAAATGTTAACTAAAATAAATCGAAATACTAATAAATAAAGAAAAAGTTGAGATTCTGCTTGGCCTCTTCTCTTTTGATAGGTTTCGCCAACTGTCAGTGACGGTATCTCCTTAGCTAGTTAAAAGCCGGCTTAACAACATCTGATTATCTAATCTTTAATATTATTCCACTAATCACTCGAATAAAACGATTATGAATGCAAAAGAAAAGTGTTAGGGGATTTCTCCTTTGATTTTGGATCTTCGAAGTTAGAAAATAATAATAAGAAAAAGTCAAGAGTGCATAATTTTCGTTTATCAATTATAACACTGCCACACGTTCTTGTTCAACAAAAAAACAAACAAATACCAACTAAAGTCTATTTAGATAGAATCACATATTAACTTAAATCGATGTGAGCTTAATTGTTTTTTTTTTTGTCAAAGTGTATGTTTTACTTAGAGTAACCAAAAAGAAGTTTAATTCTTAAGCTACAAACACATTTTAACTTTGGACCCACTAAAATTGATGTCATTGGTTTAATACGAACCTAAGAGCATGATTAAAGGCAAACTCTTATAGAAATCTTAAGCTTTTCTTAACATTTAATGCAATATAATTTAATCAACTTTGTGCTTTAATGTTAAAAAACGTTCCTTAGCTAAGGAACGTTCCTTAGCTAAGAGCCCTATTCTAAAAATCTCCGCCTATCCCGATTATTCTCCGCTTAATCGTTAGACCCACCCTATCCGCCTCGATTAATGACTAATCCCCTAAAGAAATCAGTTACCCGATTACTCTCCGTCTAATCCGATTACTTCTCGCCTAATCCGATTACTCCCCGCCTAATTTTACATATCCCGATTATTTTTAGATTTCAAGTATAAAAAAAAAATTTATTTTTGTTATTCAATCATTTAAATTGGGAGTTTGTGATGTTTTACAATAACTTATGTTCAAATTTTAATTAAAATCATAAATTTGTAATAAAACTCATAAAAATCTATCTCAAAATATAGTTTTATGTGTTTAATGCGATAAAAATGTTAAAAAAAACCATAAAACTAATATCTGATTAATCTCGATTTTAATCCGATTTTCCGATTAATCGCTAGGCCCATACCGATCGCCCGACTAGCGCCTAGCGATTTTTTAAACAAGGGCTAAGAGCATATATGGACAAAATATTTCAGAAATTAAGTTTAAAACATTTATGTTTTCTGTTATTTATGTTATAAATTGTATCTCATGTATGTTTTAATTTTTTTAATTTGCAACTATTATTAAATTTTCTATAATTATAAATTTTATTTTTATGTTAATTTTTTTCTTTCTAAGAACCACGTGTTAATAGCCTACCATTAATCACACAAAAATCTTAACTCAAAAATACTATCTCTTAACAATCACTTTTACACATATATTATTTAAATATTGCTAAGAGGTATTTTTAAGATATTACCAATAATCATGCTCTAACCATCGCACTTTCCTTTTTTCTCTCGTAGCACTGTATTAAATGTGATCAACGACGCACACAACAACGATCATGTGATTTTTTTCAATTCATCGAACCCTGATCATTCGAATTTCCATAAGTGCAAAAAAAAACTTGCACACATTGGAGTTTTAAGTCTAATTACTTGTGTAACTACAATTAGTATTTAGTATTATGAGAGAGATCACAGATATTTGAACAAATTAAAGTTCAACGTTCCACAATTTGACGGTTACAAATGCATTCTAAAAACTTACATTGGAAGGTAATTTAACACACACAAAGACTCTTTTTTTTCCACACTGAAACTTGAAAATCTTTTAAACCAAATTTGTGGAAGCAATTCGTCTACGCAAAGTGTAAAGTTGCGATTTATTCTTCAATGGCATGACTTAATGGTGGTGCCAAACCACTTACGCCACTCTCTCTCTTAAAGGGAAAAAAAAAACTCCTTTAATTCTTCCGTTGACTTGTTTAATATTGTCATTTGTCAGCATATTACATCCTAGTTAGATGGTAGTGGCTTTTTCATACATAGGTTAATCGAATTGGTCGATGAATGAATTAAAGTAGCAATACTCTTGATGAAGTCAACTAATAATAGACGTAAAATTTAGAGAAAACATAATTGTAATATATAGATCAAAAGGGCTCATATGTTGTTATTTATTACCTTCTTAAATATATATATATTTTTTGTTTGAGCAACAGACCTTAAATATTTGATTGAGTATTGAAGAAATGGGTCAACTAAAATGGGGAAAAATATACTTTAAAAGTTGCCAATGGAGGGAGTGACAAGTATCGCCGGCTCTCCAAGTCGCCTGAAAAGTGGCGTGAGTATTCGATGTTACGAGTTTTTTGACATTTCATGTTGGGTAACATTCGATGCCTCTCAACTTGCATAAGAAAAGCCCATTAATATATAGGCCCATTAGAGATTTATTATAGTTCCCAATAATTTGAATTGAGTAGGCTAATCTCTTAAAATTTATCATAGTCTGATCGAACTGATGCATCTGTTTGTATAGGGGAAGGAAGTGGAGGCTGTTAAACATCTTAAGGTGACTTTTGTTCATAGTAGTTTCTGTGAGTAGTAAATATAAAACCATTTTTTAATAATATTTATGGCGGATGCTCTAACGAGTAATGTAAAATTAGGATATAAATTTTGAGACTATTTGGAACAAATCAATTCTGGTTAAATTAAATGATTAGTTTGATTATTCCATTTTTGCTTTCATACCTTTTAGTATGCACTATGCATAGATAAGTTGATGGATTGGTCTTCGTAAACCTCTCTATTTTCTTTTCTTTTCTTTTTTTGATCATTTATGAAATGCCTCTTAACCAACTTGCTACTCTTTGACAGAAAAAGACCAGCTCAATTATTCAGATAAAGAAAGGCAGGTAGAACTCTTATATGTATAGCTATCATGACTGATTGTTTTGGTGGATAAAAGAATTTTAGTATCAGTTTTTTTTAATGAAAAGAACCCCTATAAAAAATGACAAAAAATATAATATATATGGGATCATATTGGTAAATCATACATCTTTTTATTATTCATTACTATATCATAAGCTTTCTATATGTTGTAGTTTCACTAGAGAAAAACAATGAAATGTGTCGAATTACAATATGACAAAGAAAACTCTACTTAAAGTTAACAATGGAACGGTAAGTTTCACTAGCTTTCCAATTCGCCGGAATAACATTATAAGCGACGACTACTTTATGAGATTCAGCAGAAGTAAGTCTGATGTTGAATGGTCCTTTTAGGGCACTGCCAGAGTTGACCTTCCATACGGCGGACCTCATTTCTTGCATGGGGATGAAATTTCCGCCGGCTGGTTGAATTTCAACATAGGACAAATCTCCATCGCCGTCTTCATACTCGACAACAAATGCAATGTAGTACGGATTTGCTCCAGCGTCCATATGGAAAGCTATGTTAGTTCCTCGATATAAACATGCCGCGCTGATAAGAAAACAAATAGTCAAGATTTTGATTAGTACTATATCATAGAAATAGACAAATAGTTAATATATAACAAATTACTCGGCTATGAAATTTTTTTTAATTAAATATTTTTTGTAAAGTTAATAATAAAATTTAAAACCTAGATTTATTTGATTTATTAAAAAAATAAAAGACTCAAACCAAAAACTTGATTAGACATCCTAAAAAGAAACATTAAAAAAACAAAAATTATGTAAGTATATAAGTACCGTTTGTAGTTAACACGTAAAACACCAGCAGATCGAAGTCGATCGGCTTGGCCAGGTTTGGCTAAGGCACCCATGGCTGTGCCGCTAAGATCAAAGTGGACTGGTTCAGAGGCGCAAGGACCATCGGGACACTCGTCGGTTATCGCCACCGTTATTGGTCTTCCCGAACACGCTGGATTTCCGCTACATATAATCTAATAAATAAAAAAAATTAACTATATAGTTGATAAAAGTAAAATAATGTTGTAACCATATAATATACATTCAGATCTTGCACGCTATCAGTTTTTTCTCCAAACCAAATATTTAATGTTTATTCTATCTGATTAATTAAATATGTCAAACATATTATAACATTTTTAAGAGATATAAGAACTGGTCATTTTATTGAATATAATTATATATATACTCAATTTATTATATGTTTTATGAACAATTTTAGCTATATAAAAAATTATATATATCCTCTTAGCTGAAAATACTATAATAAATTACTAACTAATGCATTACCTAAAAGGCATCAATAAAGCTGACCAAAAAGGCATATATTCTATGTTACATATATTACTATTGCTCTTGCCCTATATACATTCATACGAACCTGGTAACATGTTCCACATCCTTTTCCATTGTTGAACAATGAAGGACCTCCGGCTGAAACCATTGCGTATAATGGTGGATTAGCCACCGCGAAACCGTACCCACAAGCCCCTCCTACACACACATATGTATATATAGACATTTAAGAATCATATAAAAAATTTCTATTCTAAAAGAAATATGTGTATAAATATTGTTACAAATCGGTAATATTATTACGTACCAGTGCTACCGGCGCCGACAGGTTCGCCGTACCAAGTAACTCCGGCGGTCCCCGATCCAGCAACATCTATAGTCTCATTTTGGCAATAACAAAACTTTAGTGAGACTGCAAAAAGAGCTAAGAGAACGAAGTATCTATGTGATGATGATGCCATTGATCTAGCTACCTTGTTTTGTATAAAAAAGTTTTTTTTATTATATTTAAAGGTATTTGTGATTTTGATTCACTAGATGACGAAGCTTTTTATAATGTTTTTTTTTTTTGGAATACTCTCACGATGTTTTAGGAAATTGTATATTGGTAATATAAGTGAATCTTTATATCTATGGAAGTCAAGCTCTCCAATCCTCTACAGGAAAGGTAAATTTGAAATGAAAATTGGTAATTGCTTTCAAAATAGTTTATTAACTTGTCATAAAAACTTTTGGTAAAGAAATAACATTATATATTTTTGTGGTCAACAAATACATAACTCCTTATATAAGATTTAATTATATTGGTATATATTAATATATGTATTTCATTTTGTATGACCAATTTACTAAATTAACTAATCAATTTGAAAATATTTTACTACAATTGACAACTGACTAAACGTTTTGGTAAAGAACATAAATATTAAGCAAAATATGTAATGGCTATTATGAATTTGGATGAGAGAAGGATAAACTCTCAAAAGCATATATAAGAAACAAAGAAAAAATGATATTGAAGCGAATACATTTTTTTGCCGAGTGTTCTTTACTTCTTTTATTCCATTAATTGTGTGAATGAATATTACAAACCCTTAAACATCCTTATATTTATTTTTGTGAAAATTATAAGTTACAAAATTTGATACCACAAGAATTATGAACTACTGAAATTTTTTTATATATTAATGTATATTTAATTTGCTTATGGACATATATATTAGCTTAAAATCCTTTTATTTTCTAATCATGTTTATCACCCTGGATACAAGTTTTCTGTGTAAAGGCGTAAACCTACCACATATGACATATGTATTCTGTCTAAACCAAAAGTCAAATGAACAAACATTTGCAGACACTAGAATCGAATTCGCATTGTTTACGCAACAGCAAAATCTAATTCTGGCTGTAGGTTAGAGCAAGATCAACTCTTTAGTTCTTGACCTAATATTATTGTGCCACCACACGTACGGGATTGAACATTGTAAGTAAGAGATATTATTTCTACTATAGAACTAATTTAGTTCTAGCTAAACTTGAAAGTTGACGTTCGATTTGTATATCGAACCGGGTTGCCAGCCTGCCGGAATGACATCGGAAGCGACAACAGTCTCGCCGGAGTCCAGCGAAGTCACTCGGAGAGACAGCGGGGCACGCAAAGGTGACGACACGTCGAGCTTCCACACGGCACCCCACAATTGGCTCATAGACAGCCACTTGTCAGAATCTAGAGCTTGTTTGAGTTCGACTCGGCCAATTTCGCCGTCTTCAGGCTCTTCTATGTCTCTTCCTTCTCATTTCCGCTCCGCCGCTTCAACTTTTAGCCCTAACAACATGTTTTCGCCGGCGATGCTTCAACAACAACAACAACGAGGTGGTGGTGGTGGTGGGTTTCACCATCCTCATCTACAAGGACGTGCAACGACGTCGTCTTTGTTTCCTGGTATTGATAACTTCACACCAACGACGTCGTTTTTGAACTTCCATAATCCGACAAAGCAAGAAGGAGATCAAGATTCAGAAGAGTTAAACTCTGAGAAGAAAAGAAGACTCCAAACGACGTCGGATTTACATCAACAACAACAACAACACCAACATGATCAAATCGGAGGATACACTCTTCAATCTAGCAACAGTGGATCTACCGCCACCGCCGCTCAGCAAATACCGGGAAATTTCTGGATGGTTGCGGCGGGTGGTGGTGGTAACAACAACCAAACAGGTGGTCTTATGACAGCTTCTATTGGTACCGGTGGAGGCGGCAGCGGCGGTGGTGAGCCTGTTTGGACGTTTCCTTCCATTAACACTGCGGCGGCAGCGTTATACAGAAGTGGCGTTTCGGGCGTTTCAGGCGGCGCGGTTTCGAGCGGTTTACATTTTATGAATTTCGCAGCTCCAATGGCATTTCTTACTGGACAACAACAGCTAGCAACAACTAGTAATCATGAGATTAATGAAGATAATAATAAGGGTTTGTTGGCAATATAGTACGTTTGTGAGTAATAATTGGGAAAGTAGTACGACTACTATTTATAATTAGAGAAACAGTCAATTATTAGTGTTTGTGTAATAGAATTTGTGTGAGATAGGAGAGAAAGTGGGGTAGAGTGTAAGAGAGTGGAAATTACTACTAGGGGCTTTGTATTTGTGAGAAAGAGAAACGTGGGTCATGTTTTTTTTTTTTTAATTTCTTTTCTTTTCTTTATTATCTCATATTCCCCTAAAGTCTCATAATTAAGATGCTCGTTAGTAAATTTTTTGTTTCTAAAATTTATCAAATACATAAAAATCTATGTTTTTTTCTCTATCATTTGATATGCATTTTGTTTAATAATTTTTTAAAAATTTATTTTATAGACTACTATATAGAAAGGATGACTGTACAGATATAGACCACTGTACAGAAGAATGACTGTACAGATATAAATCACTGTACAGAAAGATGATTGTACAGATATAAACCACTGTACAGATGATAGACCACTGTACAGATATAGAGCATTGTACAGATATATAACATTGTACAAAAGATATAGACCACTGTACAGATATATACCACTGTACAGATATAGACCACTGTGAAGATATAGACTACTGTACAGATATTATAGACCACTGTACAGAAGATAGACCACTGTACAGATATATACCACTGTAAAGATATAGACCACTGTGCAGATATAGACCACTGTACAGATATTATAGACCACTGTACAGATATAGACCACTGTACAGATATAGACAACTGTACAGATATAGACCACTGTACAGATATAGACCACTGAATAGATATAGACCACTGAATAGATATATACCACTGTACAGATATATACCACTGTACATAATACCACTGTACAGATACATATATAGACCACTGTACAGATATAGACCACTGTACAGATATAGACCACTGTACAGATATAAACCAATGCTCGTTAATGTTTGTAATGTAGTAATATTTACTATTCAAAATTGGAGAATTAGTCAGTTTGTACTGTATATTAGAATTCAAGTGCACCAGCAAATACAACTTTGTAAATACACAATCTCAAAAAAAAAATCAACGATCCTACTCATCCAAAACATATATAGACATTATAGACCACTGTACAGATATAGACCACTGTACAGATATTATAGACCACTGTACAGATATAGACCACTGTACAGATATAGACAACTGTACAGATATAGACCACTGTACAAGACAACACCATTTCCTCCATAAGTAGTCACTCTTCCATAAGTAAATGACACACCATTTCCTCCATAAGACAAGTACATAAATTGGCTCGATGTTTTGGGTCAGCTATCTTCTTCTTGTTGTGTTAGCATTTCGGTGATTGCTTGGCTATAACAAAAAAAAAATACAATGGTAAAAATGACGATGTTAGATATTGTTAATGCACAAACATAGAATGCAAAAGAGACCCAAGATCAATAAACTTCAATTATGCAATCCTGCCATAAGTTACCACATCTATAAACATAGGCCTGGGCATTCGGTTAACCGTTCGGTTTCGGTTCGGTTGCGTTCGGTTTCGGTTAGTTCGGATATGGTAATATAATAACCATTCGGATATTTTAGGAATTTCGGTTCGGTTCGGTTCGGTTACCTTTCGGTTCGGTTTGGATATTTAAATTGATAACCATAACTAACCAAAATTTTATCACGTTCGGTTTGGTTCGAGTTTTTACCCAAAATAACCAAAATTGACCGAATATAACCGAAACTAACCGAAATTAACCGAAAAAAATACAAAAAGAAAATACAAAAAAAAAGAAAATTATTAGAAAGAATATTAAAATTGGATTCATTTTTGTCAAAGAATATTTAAATTTGACAAATATAACAAACAACATTTGGATATTTTGATTATTTAAAGTATGTTTTGATTCTAAAAATAATTAATATTTTGAGTATATAATTCTAATTTTGTGTATTATTATTGGGTATCTTATAGAGTTTTTGGATATTTCGGTTAACCGTTTGGTTATCGGTTCGGTTCGGTTCGGTTTCAATTATTTTGGATAAGGGATTTGACTAACCATTCGGTTATTTTGAAAACTTCGGTTCGGATATGGTTCGGTTTTTTTCGGTTCGGTTCGGTCGGTTATTTGGTTAGCGGTTTTTTTGCCCAAGCCTATATAAAACTAAAAACCTTAAGAACTAATGCACGGTTATGTACTAAATTGAAAATGAAATGCATCAATAAAAGCCATAATAACAACAATTGAGTACCTCTCACCAAAAAAATAACTTCTTACCACTTAAGCACAAAGATTACAGAAAATTGCAGTCATCTCATTTGCTTCTTCTTTTTCTCTTACTCTTATCTAATCTTCTTATTCTCTGCTTCAACGAGCTGATGTTGAATTCCTATTAATTTTTAAAATCAAAACAATTTTCCCATAGTCAAAACAAAACTAGAAACTAATCAAGACAAAAAGAAGCTAACAATTCTAGATTTTTGGAAACTGATAAATAGAAAAAGAACACATACTTAAATCTAAGCAAAGAGAATAAGACGAAGAGCACTGAAGACGAAGAGAGGAAGCGAGGATTGGAGTTGACCGCCATTGGAGGAGAAGCTAAGCTCTTGTTCGTCACAGATCGAAGAAAGAGAGGGAGATCTGAGATCAGTGAGAGAGAAATGGGAAGATTAAATGGTGGAGGAGTAGATCGAAGATAAAAGGAGGCTGAGACTGAAGGGTAATGACGTAATCGACGCGAATTGAGGCCGGCGACGAGCTTCACGGTGGAGTCGGAGTCGAAAAGGAACATACCTAGCTTTTGTACTTTTGGCGGTTAGGACCCGTTCCTAGCATCCTAACCCACTGGGTTGTAACACCTCCCCTCCCGATTAGATGTTTTCCGAACCTCCGAGCAAGGATCAATTCAATCCGGTTTGGTGGAATCGCCATTTTTTTCTTCGGTGGTGAATCGCCTTATTACTCTCAACGACCTTTAACGGAGGCGGCGGTGGAGGAGGAGTAATGGAAGAATCTTGTGATTGTGAGTCGACGAAGATAGAAGCAGAGATGAAGAAGAAGACGAAAGAGATAAGAAAAAGTCTCAAACTTTGTAATGGCAAATCCATTTCGCGAAATTACAGAGGAAAAACAGAGAGATTCAAAATCTCATAATTATGAAATTAGGGTTTCGCGATTGGAGTAACTGCAACACCAATAGTTGCAAAGTGGGAGAAATAATCTAAATCGATTTGAGGAAAGAAGGAGAAGCGAATCTGAAGAACGTGTAACGTAAAATGATTTCAAGAAGAAAGGAGAGATAGTTTCTGATGTTTTTTAAATGGTAAAGTATAGTGATGGCATTGTCGTAAATATAAGAAATATCTGAGGGTTACAATGTCTTCAAAACAGTGGAGTACAGTGACGCTGGTGGTTTTCCCAATTGTAAATAGTGTCAGTACTACTTTTCCAATTATGTTTGGAAAACGTACTATATTGCAACTTATTCCTAATAATAATAATGAAGGAGGAGGAGGAGGAGGAAGAAGTGATGGTGGTGGTGATCATCATAATACACAGAGACATCATCATCATCATCAACAACAACATCATCATAATATTCTCTCCGGTATAAATCAGTACGGACGGCAAGTTTCCGGTGAATCTCAAGCTAGTGGATCACTTGGAGGTGGTGATGAGGAGGATCCGCAAGATTAGACACACACAAAAAAAACAATTTTACGGTGGGATTTTCTGCCGGCGGCGGTGGCGGTGACGGCGTTCGGCGGCTGTGTAATACTTTTGTTTTCGCCGTTAATTTTTTTATTTTCTGTAGTAATTTTTTTTTTGCTAAGTAAAAAACAAAACACGTGAGATTTTTTTTTAATTTTGATTTTATTTTTGTTTACTTTGATTTAAATTTGATTTTTCTTGTGAGTGAGTGATTAAATAGTACACGAGATTTTTTATGTCAGGTTTTTTGGATTTTGAGGAGAATATGACACTTTTTTATCATTATTATTATTTTTTTTTTTTTGGTAAAAAGTGAAATTTTATACCATTTTTGATTTTTGACAGAATTACAGGGAAACTTGAAACAGATTAAAGCAATCTACAGAAATATAAAAACAACATTACAACTCAAATTGCAAAAGATTACTGCTAAGCGGTCAAGGCCAAGATGCAAGAGGAGAAACACCGATTCCGAGCCCGCGAAGCTCGAAAATTTGCGTGGTTGCCACAGAACCGAAGAACTGGAATCCTCATCGTAGTTGCCACGAGCATATCTATCCAAGGCCCGTCCTCAAAACCTCAAGATAGAAGCCTACAGCTTCTCCGAGAACTAACACAAAAACGAAAAAGCAATCGTGGACTTCTACACTAGCTCAACGAGATAGCGACGCCACTTAGACCTAATCGCCGCCTCTATTCACCACTCGACAAACCTAGCCAAAGCGCCAAGAGCAAACCAAAGCAACAAGAACCGAACACGACAACACCTTAACAACAAAACTCTACCTTAAAGCAAACCGGAGAAGAAGCCACGGGGACGAAGACAAACGGACACGGAGAAGCCATACCCATGGCTGAAGAAGCTACCACCTTCAACAACCCACCAATGGAGGAGACACGTTGACCACCAAAACCAGAATCCCCAACGCCTCTAACCGCAACGAACAAGCTTAGAGCACCAAAGTGACCCCGAGGCTTGCCTCCAATAGAGAAACCCGCCTTTTCCAGAGACGACACCGCCGGTGCTGGAGAAAAAGAAGATAGAGAGACCGAGAAGAGAAGAACCGTCTCGCCAAGACAAAACCGGTGAGCCCAACCACAAAAGGAACAACGGCGATGACTGAAGAACACGGCGATGCACCACCGGTTTCTCAGATCGGGAGAATGGTCCCGCCGCGAGGAGCTAAGCCGCTGAACATAAGCCTCACCTGAGCCAACACCAGAACCGACGAGAATCACGCCGCACGAGGACAGAATTGAAGCCACACTCACCGGAGAAGAACTCTGAAACATCACCGTCCTCAAGCACCGAAATCAAGAGCTCGACGGGAGACATTAGCAAACTGTCCTTTGCACCGTGCGAGAAGCGAGACCTCTCGACGC